TGATATACCTAAGACAGCTTTCAGAACTCGTTATGGACATTACGAGCTCACAGTTATGCCATTCGGATTGACAAATGCTCCGGCAGTGTTCATAGATATGATGAATCGAGTATTTCATCAATATTTGGATCAATTTGTTATGGTCTTCATTGATGACATTTTGATATACTCCAAGAGTAAAGATCAATATGAGGAACATCTTAGAATAGCGTTAGAGATACTACGCAAGGAAAAGTTATACGCCAAATTCAACAAGTTCGAATTTTGGTTTGAAATAGTTGGATTTCTCGGTCATGTAGTTACTGCCCAAGGAATTAAAGTGGACCCAGTAAAGATGGAAGCAGTAACTAATTGGAAGAGACAGACTAATGCTGGTGAAGTTCTAAGTTTTCTAGGATTGGTTGGGAACTATCGAAGATTTATAGAGGGATTCTCCAAAATAGTTGAACTAATGACACAATTGACAAGGAAAGGAGTAAAGTTTCAATTGACAGATAAGTGTGAGCAAAGCTTTCAGGAGCTAAAACAACGATTGATCACAGCACTTGTATTAACCATACCTGAAGGTTCAGAAGGATTTGTTATATATATATTGATGCATCCAAGCAAGGTTTGGGATGTGTACTGATGCAACATGGAAAAGTAATTGCCTATGCTTCAAGGCAATTGAAGCAACGTGAGCAGAACTACCCGACGCATGATCTAGAACTTGCGGCAGTGGTTCATGCATTAAAGATATGGCGCCATTACTTATATGGAGGGAAGTGCAATATTTATACGGATCATAAGAGTCTCAAATATTTCTTCACACAGAAGGAATTGAATATGAGACAGAGACGATGGTTGAAGCTAGTGAAAGATTATGATTGCATTATTCATTATCATCTAGGTAAGGCTAATGTTGTTGCTGATGCTCTAAGCAGAAAGTCGATGTGACAGTTGGCATCATTACCTACTATTTCGATGGAGTTGATCAAAGACTTGGAAAAGTTGCAAATTGAAGTGATTATCACACCAGAACAAGTCACTGCTCATTTAGCAACTTTGGTGGTTCGACCTACTCTTAGAGATCGGATCATAGAAGCACAGGATAAAGACCCATTCTTGCAGAAGATCAAGAACGAGATTGGTACTGATAAGAGAAAGGATTTTGGAATAGTTTCGGATCAGACACTAATATTTAAAGGAAGAATTTATGTGCCAAATGATAAAGTTTTGAGGAAGGAGATATTGGAGGAGGCTCATTCCACCCCATACGCCGCACATCCTGGTGGTACAAAAATGTATCGAGACCTTCGAAATACATTTTGGTGGAGGAATATGAAAAGAAGTATAGGTTCATTTGTGGCAAAATGCATAGTATGCCAACAAGTTAAAGCGGAACATCAAAGATCGGCAGGGTTATTAAATCCATTAGACATACCTGAATGGAAGTGGGAGAATATCGCAATGGACTTTATGGTAGGATTTCCAAGGTCAACAAGAGGAAAGAATGCTATATGGGTAATAGTGGATCGTCTAACAAAGTCCGCTCATTTTCTTCCAGTAAAAATGACATTCAGTCTAGATCAGCTGGCACAGTTGTATCATTAGAGAGATTGTAAGATTGCATGATGTCCCCGTGTCCATTGTATCTGATAGAGATCCGAGATTTACGTCAAAGTTTTGGAAGAGTTTACAAGGAGCTATGGGAACGAAATTGAATTTCAGTACAGCATATCACCCTCAATCTGATGGTCAGTCTGAAAGGACCATTCAAACTTTGGAAGATATGCTAAGGGCTTGTGTTCTGGATCTAGGAGACAGTTGGGAATCGTATATACCTCTGGTAGAATTTGCATATAATAACAGTTTCCAAACAACTATTGGAATGACACCGTATGAAGCTCTCTATGGTAGAAAATGCAGATCACCTGTTCATTGGGACAAAGTTGGAGAAAAGAGAGTTTTGGGACTAGAGATCATTGAAAGAACAGTTGAAGCCATTGATAAGATCCGTACCAGGATAAAGGCCGCGCAAGATAGACAAAAGAGCTATGCAGATGCCAGGAGAAAAGACTTGGAATTTGAAGTTGGAGAGAAAGTCTTTCTAAAGGTGGCACCAATAAAAGGTGTACTTAGGTTCGGCAAGAAAGGCAAACTACAACATCGTTATATCAGACTTTTTGAAATACTTGACAGGGTTGGAAATGTGGCTTATCGATTGGCGTTTCTACCTGAACTATCGGCAGTTCACAATGTGTTTCATGTATTGATGATTAGAAAGTATATGCATGATCCTGATCATGTGGTCAACTACAAATCCTTGGAAGTACAAAAAGACTTATCTTATGAGAAATTATCGATCAAGATACTGGATCGAAAGGTACATAAATTACGGAACAAGAAGATTCAACTGGTCAAGGTGCAATGGAATAATCATGGAGTAGAAGAAGTTACTTGGAAAAGAGAAGAAGAAGTTAAAGACAGATACCCAACACTCTTTGTCCAACCATAAGGTAAATTTCGAGGACGAAATTTTATTTAAGGTGTAAGGGTTGTAGTACCCGAGAAAAATAAAATGGAATTATACTATTATTTTATGATGATCTAGCACCATGAGCCTAACCCATTTTAGAAACGACCTATAGAAGCTCAACCCATGTAAGATCGTAGAAAGTCCAAGTCATAAGTTAATTAAAAGCCCAGCAATTTAAGAGATTAAGTTTAAGTAAAATTGATTACAAAGATTTAATGAATAACTGGGTTGCCCCAATGGTCATCTACATGGTATTTCATATAGGCAACCCAGATTCGAATCACCATGTAGATTTTTTTATAAAACTTTCATATGAATTATTTTTATGACTTAGCGACTCTTCAAATTCTTAGTTAAAGACTAAGTTTAATAAATTTAATGATAATACAACTCCCTCACTTAATTTTTTATTAAAAAGAAAGGTTATAGAAGTGGAATGTCACTTTTTCATTACACTCCTCTTCAAATCCGAATTTCATCTCATTTTCTCTAAAAAAAATATATTTCGTATCAAGTTAAGTTTAAGGAATAACAAGGGTGAGAAGAAGGAAAACTTTCTATACATTTTGTTCTTTTATCCAAGAAAATTCAAGGTAGGTAGATGTACAAGCGTTCATTCGTTTTCAAATATGATTTTTCGATAAATGTTTAAATGCAATGGCACCTTCGGGTATGGTGCTTCGGCACTACAACAGTTTGAATGATCATTCTTCGACTCTACGTGTTATGATAATGCTATAATAATTGAATTTGCCAAAAATCCATCTACGTGCGACGGTATGAATCTATAGTTCGAAATTTCTAATTTGATAATTAATTGCACCGATGATATCTATTGAGTTTCAAAATCATAGGTTAATTCCTTTCCTACAGGTTGAATGGATTTTCCTTGGGGCATAGATGATGGTAAAGGATAATGAAACATGTCATGGAGAAGTTGGTGATTTACATCTTTAGTTGATTTTGAGATGTTTACACTTTCTTTAAATTCGATTCCTATGAATATTGTGTGGATCTATTTTATGAATACTCGTTATGAATAAATTATGTTTGAAAGTAAATATGCGTCATAGGAATAAATTTACAAATCACCGTATAAAAAAAAAGTTAGCGATTTAAAGTTTTGATGTCTTTTCAGAAATTTCAGTTTCTGCCTCATCTTTAAAAAAAATCATAATTCTTTCATTACTTGGTATTTTTATACGAAACCAATTGGATTGGATAGCCTAATAAGTTAGATACTAAATAAAATTGGAATCATGTCAATCCAATATCGGTAAAAGGTTATATGTCACATAAAGTAAATTGTGCTGGGTGTTGTCTCTGTTTTTCAGCTTCTACCATTATTTTCAGAAATTCATAATTCACTCGTTACTTGTAATTTTTCGATGAAACCAATTGGATTTGATAGTCTCATGAATTAGTTATTGAATAAATTTGAAATCATGTGATTTTGACGTCGGTGGAATTTTATATGCCATTTTAAGTGAACTGCACCAGTTACCTTTCAATCGGGTCGTTGCTAAGTTTTGAAAAATATTTTAATACCCCATATGATGTCGACGGAAGCTAGTTTTTGAATATGTCATATTATAAGGAGTTTACTACTTTACATTAAAATTTGATGAAATTTCAAGGTCGATAGCTATAAAATCAAATTTATTTTGACAATTACTGTTTGAGACAAAAAATAAAATAAAATTGGAATAGCAACATTACTTTTTAAATTTTGTCAAAATTTCACGTCAATAGTCGTTACATGCATGAAACTCATTCTAAATTTTTTTTTGAAATTGTTTTCTTTTAGAATTGGATTATTGTTTAAATAAAAAAAAGAAAATTCTTTAATTAAATTTTAAAATTTAATCTTTATACCTTCTACTAAAAATATATTGAACTAACTTTACGACTAACGTACAATGATTGAGTGACGTTTCCGTCCATGCGGGTCGGGGCGTTACGAATCATAACTTTGTCGAAGGTGGGTGGAGGTTTTGGTGGATCGAACATCAGATTTTGTTGAGTCTCAGCTGAGATGGGGTATCTGTTGGAAGAGTCAGACGGCAGGTTGTCAGAGAAAAAATTTGGGGATTGCGACTACAGTAGCGTGCCGATGGAGGGACGACTAATAGGTGACAATCATCATACTGATCGATTTGGAGAGAGTGTCAATTGACAAGGTCATCATCAAATTTCATTCTTCTCTTGTTCCATTCCACTTTCTGCTTTGGAAATAGACAGAGAAATGGTTCCATACCCTTTTTCTCTATACAAATAGAGAGAGAGAGAGAGAATTAGTTTTTAACGCCCGACTCTTGTAAAAATTTCTTAATCACCTGATTTTTGTTAACTAAATGTTAAACCCCTCGTTTTTGGTAATTTTCCCCTTTTTAACGACAGACACTATTGTCCCAGATTCCCCAAAAGTCGTTCCACTGCTGCATGAACATTTCCTGAAGTTGCACGCAGTGCTCTGATATTCTCTTGGGTGTCAAAGAAACCCATCTCTTGAAGCTGTGATAATTGAGTTGCATAAAGTTCTTCCGGGGGCACTAAAACGCACGCGCACGCGCACACTAGGATTAAGATATCTGGTAACCGACCAATCATAACGAAAAAATAAATTTAATTAAATAAAAAGGCAGAGAATAATTTCAACCATTAGGATTGCTTGGGATGGACAAACCGCCAGCTCCGAGTCCGCCAAACATATTCATCAGCATCTCCAACCCCATGTTATTTAGTTATGGGAAGATAGTGTGTCTTACCCTCGATGTGAGCAAATATATTATATTAATTTAGGACCTGTATCACACCCATTATTTGAAAAACTAAAAAACTTTAAATAATATTTTTGAAGAATGTGTGGTTAAAAAGTAAAAAAATTTGGAAAATTTTTTGGTTTGTATGTAAAATATTTTATGGTGTGAATGTGTGGTGACAAATGATACTGTAGCAAACAATTTAAAATTTTAAAGTCTCTCAAACGAAGGCTTAAGGTCAAAAAGGAAAAGATAAAAAGGTATATTAAAAAATATGAATCCATGTGAATATGATTAGATTTTTATGAGAACAAAATTGATCTAGTTGGCTATAATCAACTAATTCGACCGGGTCCGACTTAAGTCAATTGGTTCTCAAAGAAATAATCACAAATTTATACAATCGATTATACTTCAAGGCTTAAAGCTTAAAAATTGTAGTAAATTAAGGCATTGAGATATCCTCCATAACGAGTTTCGATCTAATTAATATTGAAAAGTGAAAAAAAAAATCAATAATCTAACAATTCAAATATAATTGACGATCGAACAACAAACCCAACCGTTCAACATTAGGGCTTGTTTGATAGAATTTATTTGGGAATAATAAGTTATTGAATAGTATTTTTTGAAAATTTGTAGTTAAAAATTAAGGAAACTTTATTGGTTTGTAAGTAGAATATTTTATAGTGTGAATGTGTGAAGAAGAATGATACTGTAGCAAATAATTTATATTTTTAAAGGACGTCAAATTGGGGCCTAATTCAACAATAACCCAGCAATTAACGTTGGAGAATTGAGGATGAACTAAATGAAAAAAAAAAAATCAAATAAAAATCGATGGCTGAATTGAATTTAAATTGAAAAATTGAAGGCTGAATTGAATGGTTAATGGGTCTGGTCGGCTATTAAGCCCGGTTTGACAACCAATATTTAAAAATTCTTTATTATTTTTTTTACATAATCAGTTTTAATCACACACAATAAAATATTATGCACATAAATTTAAATTTTTTTCTACTTTTCAATCAAACATTTTGTTAAAAATTACAATTCAATTTTTTATTTTTTTGACCAAATAATGACCATCGCACATGGACTAAATAAAAAGGAGACAAGTCCCTAACAAATGTAACGCCAAGCCATAGCCAAGGGGCTTAGGACCTAGCTTTGATCGTGGGCTTATCACACGACAACTTGGCCCAAAAGTATTGGGTCGGCCCCCTTACACTTTAAAATACTATAACATTGTTTCCATAACTGGGTCTAATTGACTAATTCTAATTCAAAGACAAGAAAGCGTGAACTGAAAAATGGAAGTTGATAGGCAGTTCAACAAAATTAACATTAATTAAATGAAAATGGTGGTTATGACTAAAGACCATGGTTAGGTGACGTCAAACATTACGTTTATCTAGTTTGGTCAGCTACCGGCGTGACACGGCACGCATACTGGGCAAAGCCAAATTCAATGCAACACTTTGCAGGTTCGATTTTGTTCAACTTATTTTTATTAAATTTAGCTCTAACATGTTTATATCATTTTGTTTTTACTGATACTTTGTTCTTCTTCTTGTTATGACAAAAATAAAATAGTTTAATCGTAAAGAATAATGTCATTTGCAGTTACTTAGACGTTGTCTGGCACAATTTTTCATCAGAAAAGTTATCGTTGGCAGTGAAAATACCACCGTTGGCAGTCGCAATGTTTGACCCACTCTCTCACGGGCAGGGACGGATTTAGGGGGGACTAGCTGGGCTGTAGTTCCCCCTCTACCAGGCCCAATTAATATTTTTTTAGAGTGCATTTGAGAGTCATTTTTATATAAAAATGCATTTTGTAATAGTAAATTGATGGGAAATTTGTGGTTGAAAAATAAAGAATTTTTTTTGATTTACGCGTAATATTATTTTTATGAAGAATGTGTGGTTGAAAAGAGAAAAGAAAAATGCATTTTGAAAAAAATGGGTACCAAACGGGGCTTTAGGATAATTCCCCCCCCCTTTTTTTTGGTAAAAACAGATTTTTAATGCGTAAATTTTTTTTCACATATTAGCCCAACTTGAAATTTTTTAGCCGGATCTTGAATTCAATCCTGGATCCATCCCTACTCACAGGTGGGTCCCGTCTGACCAAATAACGATCAAATATTGCTGAAAATCTAGAAAAGAAGTTGCACCAGACATGTTTTTATTACCGCATTTGCTCCATGTAACCCGCATGTGACAATTACTAATATAATATATGTGACAAGAAAAAACTAACACATTAGTACATACACAAATCGTCACATACGATGTCACGTAGGACGACTACTTCAATGAACGATTATAAATAACTTTACTCAATCGTAAATTATAATTGAACTAGATATGATTTGAAGAAACTAATAAATGGGCGGGAGTAGAAATTGAATTAAAAGAGAAAAAGGAAAAAGAAAATAAAAACTCATAAAAAGCACTCAAAAGTTCAAATTTTCCAACAAAATTTAGACAAAGCTAGCAAACAACTTTCTCAAAGTCAACACACTTTCAAGATTTAAATCTAAGATGGACCCTATTTCCACATTCTTCCCCACACGTTGACATAACATATCCAATAAAAGAGCGATACTACGTACTTAACATAGGCTCGTTAGCACCGGATAATAACCGAAAACAACAATAATGGACACTAATTAAAATTTAGAAATAAATAAATAAATAAATAAAAAAGGATCACACGATATTCGCTGCATATATAAATTCTCTGCGGCAACCTTTCAAGCACCATTCTTGGTAATGGTTAGATATACTTAAAGGCAAACATTTATGTAAAAATATATATAATATAGCTGTATATATAGGAAGTATATATAGCTATATATGCAGGATAGCTGGTGAAGAAAGGAATTCTGGTGAGATTTTCGCCCAGAAGAGAGAGTTAACCTGGAATTTCTATTTCCGGCAAAGAATTAAAAATGAAGAGAAGAAGCACGAGAAGCGCCTCCACACTGTCGAGACCGCCGGTGAAAGGAGATGAACGGAAAACGGATGAGAAGAAGGCGAAATTCGAGAAAAAATTGTTCAAATACGAGGAATTGCCAGAGTATTTGAAGGATAATGAGTTCATCAGAGACTATTATAGATGTGAATGGCCTTTGAAGCATGTTTTTCTTAGCCTTTTCTCTTTGCACAATGAAACTCTCAATGTTTGGACGTAAGTTTATTTGATTAATGATGATTAGTCTATATCGAGCAAATGTTTTCAATCATTTAAAGAAATTTCAATTGTTGGTATATTTCGATTTTAGATCTGATCTTAGTTTTATTTCTGTTCTCAAACTATAATTTTAGTAATTTTTGAAAACTTGTGCTCATAATCTTTGATTAACCCATATCATACCATACGGGAAAGTTTCATGTTAAACGTTGAACTTCATTTTGTTTCAATTTACTCATTAGAATTTACACATTTTTTTTTTTTTTTTTTAGTCATTTGCTAGGTTTTATTATATTTGTTGGATTGACAGCGATGAGCTTGACGGAGAAGATGACTCTGGAGAACGTGATGGCACGTTTCCTTGGGTAATTATACGCAGTGTTGGAGGAGTTTTTGGTCATTTGACTTGAATTTGTTAGAGCCTTTTCTGCTGTTTTGACTTTTGATAATTGAATTCGCAGAGAGGGAAGTAATGCTTGGTTAAACGTGAAGATAATTAATCAATCCAACGGTTCAGATTCTTTATTTTCGGTATGCGTTGCTCTTACTTTTCTATCATAAAATGTGGCAGACAATTTAAGAAAAGAAAGGGTAAAGTGCAAGACCAAATTTTCACATGTTTATTGGAAGTTGGGGAATCTGGTGGGCTCCGCTCCATGTGAAGATATTTTCTTTATGTTCAAAACACCTAGAATATAAAATAATTATTTCAAAGAAAAGGTAGTCAGAAATGAGTAGAAAGGATATTCTGTAATTATTAGGAGCGTGAACTCTTTGTAAAAAATTATGAATTATTCTGCAATTCTGCTCATTCAGTGAACATGTCACATGCTGCACCTCACGTGTATGAACATACCAAAAAAAATTTATTGCACATGCCAAGATTGAGTTTTAATGCAGTATCTGATTTTATTATATGATGCAAAAGTCAGTAGAGTTATATATTAAGTCTCAGTTTGACTCCCATTTTGTGGAAATGAAAATGGGTGGAATACTGTTTTTTTGAAAAATTAGTGGTTTAAAAAGAAGAAAATGTTTTCGATTTATGTGTAATATTATTTTATAAGAGATTGTGTGATTAAAAATAGAAGAGAGAAAAATTAAATGTAATGGAATGAAAATTAATGAGGCCAAACAGAGACTAAATGACAATGTGGCTTGTGGTTCATTTAGCCCATGCTCGGTAAGAACTAAAAATTTGATTTTAATCCAATTAAACGGGGTTTAATTTCCAATACATTTGTAGGATTCTTAATCCCCTATTTAGTAGATTTTGATAGAAACTATGAAATATGTGAGTGAAAAGTCGTGAGTTTAATGAAATGTGTGGTTAAAATTAATTGTTGATTTTGACTTAAAATTTTAATTTGATTATAATCCAAACCAAACAAGGGCTTATACTCAATGTCGAGAAATTGGATTGGACTAGATTAGACCTGTCAAGTTCAGTCTTGACGTTGCGAGTCTAACGCCAGCCTACATTATATTGTGTTTAACTGGATGTATATTTGATGTGCAGAAATCTGACCTAGGAAATATTCCCAAGGCATCAAGCTTACATGCAAATGCAGATTCCTATTCTCTTCCTACATGGCCTTGGTTTGTTTTCTTAGGAGGAGCAATGAGTTGTTTGATCTTTAGCTCAATCTCCCATCTCTTTGCCTGCCACTCCCGAAGTTTCTACCTGTTCTTCTGGCGCCTCGACTACACTGGCATCTCCGTCATGATCGTCTGCTCATTTTTCACACCAATATACTACGCGTTCTCAGATCGCCCGCATTGGCGCCTCGTATACCTTACCTCGATCACATTAGTAGGAATTCTAGCTGTTATCACCCTCCTTGCACCGGCTCTCTCCAGCGGTCGTTTCCGGGGTTTCAGGGCAGCCCTTTTCCTCTCCATGGGGTTCTCTGGTGTGATTCCGGCTGCTCATTCAGTAATCCTTCACTGGGATCACCCACAAATACTCGTCGCACTCGGGTATGAAATAGCTATGGGACTTCTCTACGCCGTTGGAGCTGTTTTTTATGTTACTAGGATCCCAGAGAGATGGAAACCTGGTACATTTGATATTTTAGGACACAGCCATCAGATATTTCACGTTTTAGTTGTTGCAGCAGCACTTGCTCATTGTGCTGCCACCATCGTTATCATGGAATGGCGCCGAAACTTACCGGCCTAAACCTCCCTCCGCCCTGGTTATTATTATTATTTGCCGTTGTTTGGAATAGATGCAAGTTTTGTGTTGTAACATATTAATCGAATGCACTACTGGTTCTTGCGTGTAACAAGCAATGCAGCAATGGAACTTTAATTTTGAGCAGTAAAATTAGGCATATTTTTTTGAACTTTAGGAGTGAAACAGAATTTGTTGCACAAAAGTTAAGCAGGGCAAAATCAGTAAAATGTGCCCATGGAAAATTGGTTAGTTATTCAGAAAATAGCATTGGCTCGACAGTCGACAGAGACTTGAGAGAACCGTGCTGGGCATACCCCTGCCAGACAACACTAAGCATGGGCCCCTGCACAATTTTATTTAATTATTATTATTATTATTATTTTTTTGCATGTGAGACCGACCCCTACAGTGAAGGGTCGGTAAAACCCCTGTAGGAGAATGCTCTGTACACAGGAATATGAAATAACTCAAGATTATAACTCTTAACAGTAATTCACATTCACCATGTAAGAGGATAGAACAACATAAACACGAAATCCATCAAGCTGTGGCTTCTTTCTACAAACAATTTTCAGCTAAATGAGGAAGCCGATTATTAGATGATCTAAATAACATGTCAAAACCGGTCTATGACAATGATATGTGCAAAAAAAGGGAAAATAATAATAAAAAAAAAAAAAATCCTTCACGTGTTTTTTTTTTCCTTTTCTCTCTTTTCTCTCTTTTTTTTTTTTTTTTTTTTTTTTTTTTTGTCATGGTATATATCTTCTGCACTCCATGCTCGTGATCATCCTAAAATTTTTTCCCGAATGACTCTAGTCAAGGTTCTTACATGTTTCAAAAGAAACCACAGAATTTGAAACGTAAAGCATAAAGAAAATAAAATTCACTCAAGATCCTACTACCTCTGCAAGATTAAACTCTCTTTTGCGTTGCATCTTGCATACTTGATGACTTTCACTTTGCAGCCAAGCTAGATCACAATGAAACCCGTATCAAGAAGGCGGTAGCATCTAGTTTTACTGGAGTTCTACCAAACTTGTCGACAGTAAGAGTAAATCGAACTCCTCATTCATTTCCCGGCACCACAAATCCAGGTGCATCTCATTGCTTTGATCTCACAGTGTATTCTTCATTAAGAGTAGACGATCAAGGTAAATGATAAAGTATTCATTCAACTTGTTGCCTGAACGATATCAGTTTCACCATCACTGTAGTCTCCCCAGCGCTTGGTTGTCTTTTCCTCGACAGCAATGTCATTACAGTTATCCTCTGCAGACACAATATCAGGATCTTCTGCAACTTTTTCTGTAGGTGTTTCTTCAGGTCCACAACGTGATTTTTCATTGTCTCCCGATTGATCAGAATGGGTTTCTTCACTAACTCTGGGTCCTTCCTGTACATTTTGCGATGTTGGCGAAGCAATGACTGTCAAGTTGCTCGAGTATCCCTCTACACTACCCTCTGCTTCAGCTTCAACTTCATTTTGGTTTTCTTCAGCTGCTTCAACAGTTGCAACTGATGAAGACTCTACTGAATACACTGGAGATACTGGAAGCCCATTTTGAGTCTCCAACACACCATTCATGGATACTGGAAAGCCATTTGGCAATGTTGCTATGCCATTTGGAGATACAGGATATCCATTTGGGGAGAAAGTAATACCATTTGAAGCGGCCATATAACCATTTGGAGAAACTGGATAGCCATTTGGAACCCATGGTTGGCCAGGTACAAACTCAGCTGCAAGTGGATTCATTATTGTTGGAGGGCTGAACTGACTCTGATCCCCATTAAATTCACCATTGTTGAAAGGCTTGTTCCTTGTAACCCGATTTCCAGATCGATTATAGCCACCTGAGAGGCGTGGACCGTATGGAACTCTTGCTGTTGCTGATTGATGTGGAGATCTACGAACAGGATTAACAGCAACCACAGGAGCAATATTCACCGGGTGAGGCAATAATCCTCCTTGCTCTGTATGGCCAGGCACAGGAACAGAGCCAAACACTAAAAATGTGGATGGATTAAATGGAGGAGCAGTGGCAGAGAGTTTCTTGGCCGGTTCCTTACCAGTCTCAGCATCACTTTGCTTTTCTTCCTCAGGTGGCAAAGGATTAGCAATTACATTAGATTGATTCTCTGCCTCATTTGGTAATGAACCATTATTTTCATTTTCATTGGACAAAGGAAGATTTCCCTCTTTATCTGCCATAGTTTCTTTGGGAATAGAAGCAGCTTTCTCCAGCAACTGAACAGTATTTTCCGCATCAGCTAGAAGTTTAACATTAGTTGAAGTTACTGTGCAATTACCAACAATATTAGTATCTGAACCCTTGGAGAAATCAGAACTCCCTACTGATATGGAATCTTGTGCATTGCCATCGTCAGTGCTTTCAACGGAAGCTTCAGATTTTGAAGCAGTCGTAATAACTGTTATTTTTTCTTCACATGCTCCAGTGCTTACTTCTTGTGAAGATTCTGCCAAGAGTGCATCGACGTGTTCATCTTTTTTCTGCTCAACACTTTCTTCCATTTCTTTGACACACTCCAAAGGATTTTTTTCTTCAATCATCTTCTGAGCTTGAACTTCCTTACTATTCTTGAAAGCTTCTGAGACACTTGTCTCCTTGCTTTCTTGGTGATTTTCTTCGGCAGAACTCTCCTTGGGCAACTGCTCTGCAACAGCCTTAACTATGGTACCTGGTGGAGCTAAAGCAACCTCTTTGTAAGAGAAAAGCTTTCCAGCTGCCTGAACACTGGCTGAACCAACAATGGAACCAGCTTTAGTGGCTTCATTAGAAGCTGGGCTGCCAGGTGCTGATTTTGGGTTAGCAGATTTCTCTTTACTAGCGGCAGCCCCAGAAGGATTGTTTAGCTTTGGACTGAAGCCAGCACTCTTTGCCAACTTTTTTGAAGCATGAGGGCTTAGTCCAGAAGCAGCAGCATTCTCATTTGAACTTGTTCGTGGGGACTTGAAATTAGCTGGTTTGCTTCGGTTTTTAGAAGGATGAGAAGTATTCAGAAAGTTGGTGTTCAATTTTGCAAGATTTGGCCTCCAGGAACTAGAGGGCTTGCGTCCTATTGGTGAGCGACCTTTAGGAAAAGCTTCTTGCCATCCTGCCTCGGAAACATCATCCATTACAAAGTCATCAGTTTGATCCAAAAGTGTTTTGTCAGCTAAAAATGTATCGGTGTTCGTGTTGGTGGAGTCTGCAAACTGTGAGTCGAATTTGTTCTCCAATTCAGATCTATTCTCTTTATCACTGGAGTTCTCCACAACAGGTTCAGTTGGTGAATGCAATTCATCCTTCTCGTATTCGTTTGTCACTCCTTCACAATTGCTGCCCACTTTTCCTTTAAGCTGTATGAATAAAGATGATTTTTCATCACAAAAAGTTCATCAGCATAAAGGAAAATGATTATGGAAACACAAGGAATTAAACTTGTAAAATCATATTAATCGGCAATTCAACCTTAGCACGAGCCTGCTTCTTTTGAGCTTCTCTTGCTTTCATCTCCGCATCTGGGATTATATAGTCCAACAGGTCCGACACACTGATTCCATAAATGAAAACAGAGGTGATGTAATTACTGAAGAGATATGAAACGTAACAGGGAATCCTAAATATTCATTTAACCATCCTAGACGATTAAAATGGTTGCTACGGCATTGGGCCATGTGATTACACAAAATTATCTCATTTTTATCTTGGAAGAATTATGATTATTTATTTTCCCCTTGTGCATATATCTGATAAAGAAATGTAAATGTGAACTAGACCCAATTGAATTGATACAGCCAATTACTGAGCCACAATACTTCGGGAAGCATCGGTGAATGATTTAGAATACATGACAATGGTTAAATCAGAACCAGCAGTCCCAGGAAAAAATTGGAAAAAAATGTACAAACAGCCTCCCATTAACAAGTCACAACTAACGATTATTTTATTTTTGAAATCAGCAAGACAAGAAAATTTGTTGTATGTACCGAAAGCTACAGAGAGCTATACTAAAATAGGGTTAAGTGGTTAGGTGCGAACTAGTATTCTTGTTAAGAAAAAAGTACTATCCTTATTAGGTGTGGGCGCGGGTCGGGTCGGTTCGGTTCGGTTCTAAAGAGAACTAAACCGAACCAAAATTTTCGGGTATCTAGTAAATGGAACCGTCGGGTCCAAATATAATTATGGAACCGTTCGGGTACGATTCACTTTGGTTCCGTTCGATTCTGTACTATAATTAAATTTTTTAACATTTATAACAACAAAATATAAATACAACTAATGACACATTCAATGATTTTGGAATGTCAGAGACTAGTAGACTATTTTGTTCAAATGATCGCTACGATCAAAGCTTCGGTAGGTGGAGGTCACAGCTTCGGTCGACGATTGTCTAGGTTTTGGAATGTCAGCGAGACTGTAAGAGTGCGTGCGAGAGTCGAGACAACGTTATGTACTGTAGTATAGGTGTTTAGGGTTATTTAGTGGATTGTATTTTGTTGGACTAAGAAATGAAACAATAAAATGGGTAATTGGGCTAAAAATTAAAAAATTAGAAATGAAATAAATTATTGCGCCAAAAATTTGGATTTAGAAATTGTTAATTTGTTTAGAAAAAATTAAAATTAAAATAATTTGATTTATTCAATATAAAAAAAATTAGAAAGATTCGGTTCTTATTCGGTTTTTCGGTTCTTAGTCTAGAACCGAGAACCGAACTGTACCCGTCGGTTCTCAATTCAGATACCCGTTCAGGTATTTAATTTGATAAGAACTATCGGATTCGGTTCGGTTCGGTTCGGGAGATTTGCCTAGCCCTAATCCTTATAAAGTCTGAACATACAATTATCTTTTTTTCAAAACAGGGCACCCACAAAGTCATATGTTCCCAAACAATACAGAAACATCATATTATAGTAAAATAAGGAAACAGAACAGGAAATCACCTCAGATGGCCTTTGCTAGAGATAGAGGCATCAGGTTTTGGAGTGCCATTGCGTGCAGCTTCCTGCTGCTCCAGAGCCTTGGACTCAAAATATTCAAGCCAGGCAGCCGCATCCTAAAGAGAACTCCAAATAAGATTTAAGAATAGGATCATCCCTAAAATCTTAGGCTCTTCGGCAAGATACAGAAGTCTGTATTACCTGTGTACGTAAATCGTCCGGTCCAAGTTTAGCCTGCAGTATCTGAAGCGTCGTTTGTTCATGCTGAACGCTCAGAGAATATGCCTCCATTAATGAGAGAGCAATTGCTATAGCATGATAGCTGGCCGCAGTCTGAAAAAGAGAATCAAATATTCAGCATATTAAGATCCCACAGATGACATTGGCATCACACATACGGTAAACTGAAAAGATAATATTCTCATTGTCATGCTGGGTGATAAAGCAGCTGGGAAAATATAATATGCTTATTCCCTTAAAGAAATAAACATAATGTACACACTGCACAGATCCACACAGAACATAAAAAATTGATCAGATTTTCAGTGGCATTGGTCCCAGGTAATATGCATATCATTATAAGGTACGATATTAATTTGCTCATCACAATGTTCTATAAAACTTATAGTTGGACTTCCAAGACCATCATACACCATTAGATATCTGGTAAAGTCACATAAGGTCCATTTGTGAAGACTTGCTCTATGAGTACTGAATACAAACTCATCTAATTGTGTCACTGCTGAAGTTGTTATAATGGTGAGACTCTTTTAGTGGTTATTAACATACATGCAAAGTACACAATGAGCATCCGGATCAGTTAAACACAAAAAGTTAGAACTAGTTCATTTTCACCCTTTCTGTCAGCAACTTTCTTTGCAAAACAGAAGCATTGAAGCAAGGCTCTTTTACATCAGGGCTTAAGTTGATGGAGAATTATTCACATCCATATTCAACAGATAAGGAAACAATTATCTTCTCACCTTCAAACAGTTGGTTTCATCGTCGTTTTTAACAGAGTTTAAATTTCTAACAATTTAGCATTTGCACAAGTCCAATGCAGAAAACCAATGATCAGAAGTACACTTTGTCTTTGTACGATTTAAGACATACATGGATGGTCACAAGGGGGAGAGAAGGGAATTACTTGTATATGATCAGCTCCAAGAAGTCTTTGGTTACACTTGAGAGCCTCATGGAGGTACCTAAGAGCAACATGGACATTCCCCAGACCTTCTTCCATCATTGCTACATTGATGTAAGTTGCAGCGGTATTTGGGTGAGAAGGGCCACATGTTAGATGCAAGAGATACAGTGCACGGTTGACATACCTAAATATGACATGGACAAAGATAAGCCATACTTTTAAGTGCCTGATATGAAAGCTTCTCATGGAAATAAGATTTGTCAAGTTAATTAATGATGGCGCTCATATGTATAACTATATCACAATGGATTTGAATAGTGCAATGATTTACCGTAGATTACCCTATTAATAGTTGTTGATGACAACAGTTGGAAATAGAAAGATGATAGCAGTTTTTGCTTTCTGGACAAGTTTTTTGTTTCCTTCAGATGTGTTTCTGGAAAGGAATAAGGATTATTTGAAACTAGTTATGTGGACCAGATTCTTTAAAAAACATAAGGAATGAAAAGATATTTCACAATTTGCTTCAGTTATCGGTTACATTCCCAAAAATTAGGAAACTCTTCATTTACATTCCCAAAAATTAGGTAACTCTTCATAGTCTCATGGAGCATGACCTGCATGAATTAATTTTTTTCCTTATTTGGACCGAAATTCAGACTTTCACGTGGTTTTCACATTTTCCTGACCATCTCTCCCCAACTATGTAATGCACACTTTTTCAACTTTTGACTCCATTCTTAAACTTCACAACTACCATGTTCACTAATTATTTTCAAATTATGGAAATCAGAGTAAAATCATCGGGAAATTTAATATGTCTAATAGGTGAATAAATAGAAGACAGCTCCGAGCATAGACATACTTTAAGGCCAGCTCCGTGTGTTGGAGCCGATAGTAGAAGACAGCTAAATCTCCATAGCTTTTCATTGTGTCTGGGTGATCAAGTCCAAGCTCTCTCTCATTGATATCTAAAGCTTTCTGCTGATAGATGGTAGCCTGCTCCAATAATAAATAAACAAAACAAAAGATGACATCAGGATAGATCTCATAAATCAATAGACAATAAATAATCTCAAATTGGTAAGACCTGTTCTATTTGGTCAATACTGGTCATATTTTACATTAGAAATGTAGGTCAAAAAATTGAAACTTGATGCTCGACATTTTAGTCGCCAAAATTGATATTTATTGGGTACTATTTCATTTCAACGTCTTACATTAGTGACACATATACAACTGACTTAACATTGATTTAAGATAAATAATGCAGCAGAGCCGCACACTTAATTTTTAGCATTTTAATCTGTATACACACAGGATGGATTGCCCTATAGCAAGGGTTAATAGTTAATATAGCTGTTGAGACGTGGGGTTTACACCCATCCGGAAATTTTGTTATTTTCGAAATAAATTCTAACTTTGAAGTTTATATTGGAATCTGGCACTTGAAATACAAATGTTGCTCATAGGTGTAATCCTCGAGCACAAAGACAATATGCAAAACCCAACAGCAATAGAAAAATGCATAAACCTTCATCGATGCAGAAACTAAATTAATGTTGTCACCAATATTGCCTGCCAAGCAACTTTGTCAGACAAGGTACATACCTTCGTGTTTTAGATGTTTAGATGTAATGAGATACCTGGTAATTTGTCTTAATATATTGCCAATGCAATCAGGTTGTCAGTGCATGAAGCATGGGATATCCAAAATTACATCCTCATACCTGATTAAAGTCCCCAGTGTGGTATAGCACCACAGCCAACAGACTGTATGCCCCTGCTGTCATTCGATGATAAGGACCACAGACTGAAACAAGTCTTGAGAGTGCCTTCAAAATAAATTCGAAAGTCAATCATACTTCTAAGTGCTTAAATTGTTACCCGCCAGAGATAAGATGGGGCTATTTCAAGTGGGTGTTTGAGGGTGGAAGGGGGTTACCAATTGTTACCTTAGTCCCATAATTTACAGCATCCTCCAATTTGCCCTTATCCAAGGAAGTTTTGGATGATTCCAACAGAGTACGCCCATCCGCAGATGAGCAAGCAACATGCTGTATGGAAGATTAAATGCTGTCAGAATTACCTAGAAATCCTCCTATAGTTTCATCAACAATTTTTTAAACAAATCAGTAGCAGCATACCTTATAAGCAGGGATCATGCTAATTATATCTGATTTCTTGAAAGGGAAGGGGGAATCCATATCATAGTCCCTTGGCACAAGCTCAAGCCCAACCTAAAACAAGATGATATCTTTGAATACACAGATCAGGTAAATAAAGCCAGCCTCTTAGAGAAGTCAAAAACTTTTTTAGATGAAACAGCCTACCTTTTGGCAAAGCCCACGAAGAATCGCAAACTTTCTTAGATCATGACGAACTTCATCCTTCCATTGCCATCCAAACCTCTTTGAAAGGAAAGTTTGAATCCATTTCCATTTAAGTTCATCATCATTAGTCATGTCTGCATCATTGTGTCCGGTAGGTGGTGTCCCTAGCAACAGATTCAAACATGAAGCAATTGATGCAGCCATGTTAGTAACATTATCTACTGCTGCTACAACTGCCAGAAGAATGTGCTTGCACGCTCTAACAACCATCTCATGTATACAGAGTGATTGCACATGAGGGAGCTTGTCAGCAAGTTCAACCTGACATGGTGACAAACAAAGGGAGGTAATAAGCTTCAAATTCATTTACCACTCCTGTCTTCGATCTCTATTATTGAGAATGATAAAGAAGTGATGAACAAAATTGTGACAAGAAAGCAGCAGAAGTAATCTGGACACAGAAATATTAAAACTATTATAAAATGAAGCACTTACCACACGCCCCAAGGAATACATTTGCAAACCCCTGGTATGCATGAAATCTGTCAGTGTCCTTCCATCAACCGGTGAAAGTTCAAGGGAGCCAAAATCAGCAACCTGTCAAAATATCAGAAAATTAGCAACAAGCACTCATCTCATAAAGGTCTCAAAAGACCAGATCCTCACATTTCCTGAACCAGAAGCTGAGGGTAAAGAGTGTAGCTGAGTAGAGTACAATGTACTAACCAATTTTGGGAGGGCAGTATCATCATAGTATTTATGCGCCATCTCAATCAACTCATCAGGTGACTGCCAATATGAATGGAGAATACAAATTGGTACAGTTCTTCAAGATTTTAGCATATGTAAGGCATGGCTTCCTTTATCAGAAGTCAGAAGCATTTGATATGTGAAAATACTATTTTAAAGCATGTTACACTAACCTATTTATATTCAATGAATTTGCACCTCCCTCTGGATGGTCCTCAATCTCAACATCCTGAGGAATGGGATAGCCCTCCCAATTGACCTCAGCTGCAACTTTCACAATAGCAGTATACCCACAATGTCTAACAACTACAACACCTAAAGTAGAAGTATCCTGCAAGAGAGGAAGGTTAACTCAGCATGCTGCATTAACCATTTCAAATATTACGAGGCCAATGTGAGAGGAAATGGCTGAGAAATAAAAAAGTGAAAAGTTACTAGACGAACATGAACAGTTGCACTCTCATCAGCAGTTATGCCTTTAAGCAGGTTTCTCTTAGTGAGCTCCTCATGTGACATTCCAAGAACCAGACTCCCATCGCTTTTGCTATCCAACTTTGTGCTTGCATCCGGCACATCTTTTGCCACACTAATAAGTAGATCTCCAATTCTTTCCTCATATAAAATTGAAGAGTCAGAATTATTTGTTGACCTTTGATCATTTTCCACGAGATGTTTTATTGCATCAACTGCTTTAAAGACTGAAACGTCAACAAATAGACTGTGAAGTAGAAAAGCTTTTCGATCACGGATCTGCCTCTCTTCTGCTGTTTTACATGGCATTGCAGCCAGAATCGAGAATTCCTTTGCCCAGAGCCTGTGGTCATGCTTACCATCTCTTCCTTGTCCACCTCCATTTCCGCCCCAACTTTCATCTTCCACAGGAAGTGGAGGGAAGATAGATGGGTTCTCAGCAACAATCGGGGGGACTAGCCATGTGTTTGCTCGGAAACCATATGGAAGATTCCCAAACTGGAATGACAGATGGTTCCCTCAGTGAAACTTGGAAATTCTATATATGTGTAAGGGGTTAAGATAAAACAAAAATGCTGCACGTACAGGGCCACATCGTCCCTGTAGGTGCAGCACAACCCAAGATAAAATAAAACTACTCACTTTATTATGCTCAGTGAAAGCTTTCATGAGAGCCTTGTATGCCTGAGAACAGAAATTAACTCCATGATTAAGAGGAGACTTCAGATGAATGAGAATGAAAGAAATCAAGAAAACAGATTTTAATAGCAAAATTTAGAGAGAACTAAAAAATAGACAAGAATATTATGGCTTTATATTATTATTTACAAGAACAGAGTAAGTAACAGATAAAATCAGCCTATACTTACAGAATCAAATATTCGACTTATCTGCTGCAACAGGCCAACCATTGAGTGGCTCAAAAGTATACGCTTTCCAGAAGGGTAGAAGCCTTTCCGAGAAGCAACAATTGTAGTTGCCTTCCCACTGCAAATCCGTACCTGCATGCAAAAATTTAAAAGGGAAAAATCCATCCAAAACCATGTCAGAGAATATCAACACCACAAATGAGTTCTTAATGGTGAAAAAGAATAAAAAATTAATAGTATAAGAGTTTAAGATGCTAACATCAATTTGAAAGAAATCATCATCTGTTTTATCCTCGAGGAATGGTCGAGTTGACCTTCTAATGTCTGCAGAAGCATTGCAAAGTTAGCAACACAAACGCAAACATCTCACTTTAGGAACAACTTTTGACAACAATTGCTCCAACCACCAAGTATACACGGCGAATTCAAAATAGATAATGAAATTGTTCATGTCCACTTTTGCTTAAAAAAATAGAAGGAACTTGTTATGCATTCATTTTTCGCTTTGTAAAATTAATGTGCTTCAACTTATTAACAAGTGTTCAACAAAATTAATGTGGCAAAATTCTCAAAGAAAATGAGGTACTTGATATTTATTCAAGTAAAAAAGGTTACTACTTTTTACATTTTTTTTACGAATACTACGTTTACATTTATCTTACTCTAAAAATAAGTAACTTAATTATATCTAACTTTCACCAATGAAAAATTTACTTAATTTAGAATTTACGTTTTTACGTATACATATATTTATTAAACTTAGCCAAACGTGAATGTTCCCTATTTTGCTTCAAAAGTTTTGAAGAATGGAATAAAAAATTCACGTGCTTCGAAGAAGCGATGCAAATATCAAGAAATTTAGAAAATATTTATTCTCCAATATATATATACATAATTGAGGTATTTGACATGGTAATATGTTGAAAATCCACAAAATTGTGCTTCGTAAATTAGAAATTCCATGCACAATATAGTTAAAATATCTTTACTTTATAGATTTTCAGGCTAAATCCACTAATGGCCACTCAACCTTATACTTAGTGTCACCATGACCACCCAACTTTATATTTAGTGTCATCATGACCACCTAATTTGATTTTATTCAACTATGATAACTTAATTTCATAAAATGCTTTATCATGGTCATCCAATTTCATATAACATTTCACCATAGACACTCAATTTCTTTTCACAATTTTTACTAATTTTAAAAAGGATAAAACTATAACTTTATATATATATAAAATATTTTATTTTATTTTTCTAAATAACTTTTTTTTAAAATAAGTTTTTATTATTTTTTTTAAGGAACTTTTTTAAATAACTTTTTATTTTATATTAGATTTTTGAGTAACTTTTTTTAAATAAGTTTTTATTTTATTTTTTAAGTAAATTTTTTTAAAATAAGTTTTATTTTATTTTAATTTTTAAATATTTTTTATATTTTTAAAATACTTTTTATTTTTATTTTATTTTTTAAAATTTTATTATATATATATATATATAAAATACAAAGTTGCAATTTTATCCATTTAAAATTAGTGAAAATAGTAAAAAACAAAAAAAAAAGTTGTATGATCACGGTGAACCAGTATATAAAATTTGGATGAAAATGGTGAAATGTTATATGAAATCAACTGTGCTTATCGTACAGAACTGAAGCCCACAAGGCTCTGCCAAAATACACACGAATATGGGTGGAGTGGAATTTTTTAGGGTACTTTTTAATGAGGACCCACGTCATGTCTCACATATATGTAGAACCGGTATCTGTACATAAGGCTTTTCTTTATATGAAATTGGGAGGTGACGGTGAAATAAATTTAAATTGGGTGGTCCATGTGTTACTAAGTATAAAGTTGTCCGATCATGGTAAGATAAAATTAAATTGAATGACTATTGTGACATCAAGTATAAAATTGGATGGTAATTGATAAATTGAAGAAATGAAAATAAAATATATTAATATAGAAACTCACATTGCACTGGAGGAGTGAGGTGAGAGAACGAGAAGAAGTCGTAGAACTGCCCAAGCCTCGGTGGTGGGTACATCATCAACGCCATGGCGTCGCCTTTTTCATCCGTGTCTCCTCCGGTGAAGGCGGCAGGAACGTCTGACTTCGTGAGCTTCGCCTTGGGGGTCTCACCGGCCTTTCGGTCGGAACCTTTGGGCTTTGGAGAGGCTTCTGAAGTTGCATTTTCTGCACCGTGTTCAGAGTCTGATGGACCGGACTCTTTGACACCGGCTCGACTGTTCGGTTTGGGAGAAGAAGATGAACGGCCGAATGACGTCGTGCAGGCGACTATGTCTAGGAGCCGCCTGATGTGTGCCACTGCTTGCCCTTCCGCGTACTCCTCTGCGGGGAATATAAATATATTTAGCCGATTAAAATTTAATTTTAATCTAAGTCAAAATTAAAGTTAATTTTAATCTTATATTCCACAAAATTTTTTGATCAAAACTTCTTAAAAATTTGATTTTAATCTCCACCTAACACGGCTTAACAAAGACTTAGAAAATTTATGAATTTATAAATAAATAGAAATAAATTATCAGTGCCTATGGTACATTAAATATTGTATTATGAAACTAAAATTTAATCACTTATAAATAATGTTTTATTCGTGTATTATATTTTACTATATAGAAAATTACATTTTATTGTGAAGAATTATTAATAAATTACAACAACTTGTTGGTAGATCATATCATTTAATTTATTGCAATTATTAATTATTGGTACCATGAGGCGAAGTATGCATTCATGTGTACCATATTAAGAGACGTTTGAAAGAGATTTTTTAAGTAATTTTTTTTTTCAAAGAACGTGTGAAAAATTATAGGTTTATTATAATGTCTGGTCGAGAATGAGTTTAATATTTTCAATAAATTTATTTCAAACAAGCCCTAAATTGGGCAGTTATTGTTTGAAATAAGTGTCACGATTAAATGAAGTAATTTGTATTTCTTTTATTTATTTATTTTTATTTTTATTTTTTGTATTTCTTGATCGTTGGATAAGAGGAATGTACCTTGGACGATGGTGAGACTGCAAGGTTTGAGTGAGATAATCTCCACAGAGTCTTTCAACCTTGGTCCTCGAACCTATCAATTATTTGCACGGAAGGACAGAAAATTCAAATTTAGTTACATCGACATTTGCTATGCCATTCCAAAGTTTAATTATATATATATATATATATCAGTAATTTTTTAAACTGAGAATGACAGATAAATACTTTTACTGCATTTAAGCTTAGCCTAACAAATTTTCCCCCCTTTATGGTTTCAGTTTAATAGTTAACAAAATTGTGGGGACATTTGAAGTAATCTGAATATAAAATAGGAAAAATTAGGTTTGCATTCACCAACATTTTACATAGTGTAATTACGGATCCTTAACCTTTGAAACTGAAGTCGTAGACCTCCAATCTTCTAAAATCTATAGAATCCTCAATCGATGAGAATCATCAAAGTGGTCATTAAAATTACATGCAACTTTTACATGACAAAAATCATCAATAATTTATTCGTACCTGTTTTAATGTCTAACTTTAAGTTAAATGAAAGATGGATGGGATTTTGACATCCACATCTGCACTTTCCGTAACGTGAGGTTTCAATCTTACTGAATTAAATAAGTTCAGCATCCAAAATCTCTAGTTTTCCCAAACATGCTATTAAATCGAGTAACGCTACTTATCATCACCATCATCATAGTAAATCATCATATTCCAATAATATAAATTTCATTGAACTGCCACATAAAATTATAATTTATCACTACGGCGACAAGTGGCGTTATTATATTAAATTAGACCTATATTAATATTCCTAGCATCATGTCACATACTAAATATTACGAGTGCGATTTATCCATTCAATAGCAATTAATATGTCGTTCGAACACTTAATAGCCATCCAATAGCAATTAATGTGTCGTTCGAACAACCTTAAGTGTACCACGTGATTTAATTCATGTTATAGTTCATACCTTCCTACGATATTGACAAACAAGGACAACTCAATTAGGAAAGCCAGGTGACTTGTCAAAAAACAGGCCCATATGTTTTGCTCATCAGATAGTGCATGTGCACCGCGATTATTTTCCTGTGCAACGCTTTTATGGACCGTGCATTTGTCACATAAACATAGAGTTCGATAATGACGGAGCTAAAAGTCAAAGATGACACAATATAAAATAAAGTGACTTAATAATTTAAGAGTAGAATTATTGAACGTTTTTTATTTTTTGTTAAAAAGACAAACGCGCGGACACTCCTTTTGCCCTCTTAAGCCACAATTTTTTGAAACCGATTTCTCGTCAAATTTATTTTCAATCATATATTTTATGAGACCCA